TTTATTTATATATATTTATATATATATATATTTATAATTTTTAAAAGAATTCATATCAGCACTAGTTCTAGTACCAATATGCAATGCAAGTAGTAAGGTATGTATTTCTGCCACTTACAACCAATATAAAGTTAAAAACCCCCAAAACCTGATGATGCTAAATGTATCTGTGTAGCCCCAAAATATATTAAAGCCACACAGAAACCTGTCCTTAAAGCAGGGTTACCTAAAGCTCTACCGAAACTGAACTTGATGGAGGAGAGCATGGAAGAGTGCAAGTCTAGGGATGAGGTTTATGCAGTACTGCCTGAAGCATGTCCAATGTGCACTTGTACATCCATCACACCATTACAGCATCGACTAGGATAACAGAGGAAAGAACGTATTGTCTGATGCCTGCCTTTCGCCCTTCTGTTCCTCCCCCAACCCTTCCTTATTACACACACTTCTGGAGCTCCTAGGTGTTTGCTTACAACTTCTCAAAAGAACAAAAAAAGTTTCACTTCATTAAAAGTCTCTGGGAACTTTTTTGCAAGGGCCCGTTGCTCTGTGCTGGATTAGAGAGACTGTTGATTGTTCAGTACTTTAGGGTCTAGGCCATCAAGTGTCCACCACAGAATCCAATGCAAGCGAGAAAGGCCTACAATGCCTTCCCAGCTGCTGGGCCTGTTTGGACAACAACCAGTCCATTACAAATCATGCCCAACTGGAATTTGAGCTTGCGCTTCTGTATCTTCATGATCTCATTATTACAAATTGTAGATTGCCTTTCTGGGGTAGGGGGAAGAGGAGAAGCAAACATGAATTCCACCTGCTAAACGCATCTGCAATCACTGGGTTTGTATTTCACTTTTCTTACAAAGAAGTGCATCCTTGATTGCCAGTGAACACTGTATGCTTGGTGACTAGCTAGCTCATAACGTAAATAAACCAAAGTCCTTCCAGTCTTCCTTTTGTGCTGGTGACAGAAAAAACAAAAACAAAACAAAGAATCACCACCCAACAATCCCCAAACACCTAAATGCACAAAGCCAAAAAAATAGTAAGAATTTCTCCCCCTTCCTGACAGCCTTCACCATCAGCCAATCACAAGAATTCGATAACCAAATGAGCCTGAGTCTGTTCCACCCTCTTGGTGTCATTTTCCCATAGCAAGGACAACAGCACTCAAATGGGACGAGGAGCAGTCTTCTTGCTTCCTACAAAGCTCGGGCAAGTCAAGCAGGGTTTAAAGCAGATTCCACTCTATTGTGGTATAAAAAAAAAAAAAAGACTGGCAGAAACAGGTAAGTCTTCCTCTAGGGCATTCCACTGCATTATTTCCATGTTGCAGACTGAGGGATGGATCGTGGGGGAATCATATCCAGGAGATATTCACGTTGACGGTCTACTGCTGAAGTCTTGTGTACAGTTATACTAGGGTTGACAAAAGCTAGAGCCCCGCCTGACAAAATAGAAAAAGAGAAAGAAGCAAGTGTCACAGTGTGCTTTGACAGGACACAGGAACAGCGGGAAACAGACGACTCTGTAAAGAGCACCCAGATATTAGGAGGAGGGATACTCTCAAATTATGAGCACAAACTGCCAGCACCCAGAGCAGGTAAGTCTTGCAAAAGACGACACCTCCACAATCATCTGCACAAATGTTAACAAAACATCCCAGATGGTTTAAAAGTCTTGCTGTCACGCTGCCTGGAGTTGACCACAATCCAATTCTACTTCAACTCCAAATTAAATGGTATAAAAAGATTTCAGTATTGGGCAGAAAAAACAAAGCCTCAAGAAGAGCTAGCAGCAGCAGCATCTCTTTCCTAGGGATTCCAAATATTGCTTAAAGGAAGAGACCAGACCTCTAACCTTTTAACCTAGAAGGTGAAAGGGATCGTTGGATATTCTGTGAAGCACACTGTAAGGTATGTGTTGTAGCCTTTCCATCAGCAACAGATTTATTATCCCCTCCAATTTCAGTGGTGACAGATAATTTATAAGTGATGGTTATTAACAGGACAGTATCAACTACACACATAGGGCCTGACCTTCATTGCCCTGCACCTTGTACAATCATTTACATCTACTGGTAAAACACAACCAGCTCTCAGAGTAGAGCTTTACCGCCACTTCGGACAGGTGTCAACAGCTGTACCAAGTGTGAGGCCCTGGAGCAACAGTCCTTGATGCGGGAGGACACCAAAGAGCAACAAAGGATCAAGGCTGTTGGCCACAAAGTGCAACTAGCAACTACTAAGAGAAGAACACATGAAAGAAAAAGTCTACCTGTATTGATGGGGGTCTTCTTCCAGGTAGTAGAATTGCCCTTGCTGACAGGTCTCTCAGCATGCTTACCTGGCCTACTACCAAGTGCTGCTGCAGACGATGCATTCTGCAACTTGGGTGACTGACTAAATGCATGCAAGACGCCTCGGGGGGTTCCTGCGGCACCTCGAGACAGCTGGCTAGAAGTCTAGTGAAAAGAAGAGGTAATTAGAAGGGCCCAGGAATGCAAATCTGTGTCTCACAAAATGTTCAGTACAATAACCAAGACAGTCCTTTCCGGGATTTTTCTTCTTCCTTTCCTCTTCCTACCACACCTGATCCTGGCCACAAACTTCGTGCCATATCCAAATAAAAGCCAGCTTTTCTCTGCGCTAACACCACAACTTATTTTAATCTTTTAAAAGTGATGTGAACATAAAGGCTATGTCTAGACTATGCTGAAGTTCTGAAAGAGGATATGCAAATTGTGGGAATATGCATATCTTCTTCTGATCTCAGCAGAAAGTAGTCGGAATGCAGGTTTTTCGGCAACCCTCCCCCTTTTTCGAAAAAAGCCACTTTTCCTCAAAAAATGAGGTTGACACGGCTTTTCGAAAAAGGGGGATTGCAGGAAAAAACCCCACGTCCTGACTACTTTCACTTCCAAAAGCTCCGCTTTCGAAAGTGAGATCAGAAGAAGATATGCAAATTCCCAGAGAATTTGCATATCCTCTTTGGCGCAGTCTAGACGAGCCCAAAATGAGGCAGTCACGCTGCCTAGAAAAAGTTGAGGTAAATACTGTGTCAACTTCCACCCACACAAGCATCACAGGCTGCAAGCCTGACCTACATCATCATCATCAGAGCAGTCTTTGACATTGAAAATTTTGAACTAAAATTAGCATTTAAGTTCCCCATGGCTACCCAACCTCCTGCCTAAACAACCAGGAGTTCTTTAACATTGCAGTGTATATTTAAAATGGAGCTCTTCCAAGCATTACAGAAATGGCTCTATGACCTGTGTCACTGTCCTGCCCATTGTTAGGGAGACATGCTATGTGAGAGCTACTACAAGGAGTCTCTGGAGGTACATCTATACTTAGTGCAAGGTTGACACTCTAGAGGTTGATCTTCTAGCATTTGATTTAGCAGGTCTAGTGCAGATCTGTAAATCGAAAGCTGAGGGCAGCCTCTCCCCCCAGCAGCTGGTACTTCCCCTTTTGTGTGGAGCAAGGGAAAACAACATGAGCGTCAGCTTCCCGCTGCCTGGACAGCACCATGGCTTGGCTTAAGGAAAGCCAGCTCCAGCTACACACCAGTGGTAGACAAAAACCTTCTCTCCTTCCTTGCTTCTCCTTAATCTGCCAGAGAAGGTTTTTGAAACAATGCAAGTGCTCCCCTACCCGATGCATTTGCAGAATTAAATGTTCAGTCTCGATTACTCTAGCAGCAGAGCTCACGTCTCAACCTTCGGATTCCCTTATCATAGGGCACTGGATTATTAACAGGGCCAAAAACTTAATTCGAAATACCAGAAGACATAAGCTCTGATGTTATCAGCTTTCACACCCGTGTGTGGTGCAAGACAGGTGCATGGTCTTTTGAAATGTATGGCAGGAACACTGAAGACAGCACAGTGGGCATGTAGAGCCGCAGAAACCTTGCTTGCTTATCTTCAGTGGCTAATTAAGTATTTAAGGGCTCCTACCTGCTTGAGTGAGTGGACTATCGGTTCTGACTTGGTCTGTACAGGAGAGACAGTCTGTTGCAATATCCGCTGCTCGATCTCCTGCTCTTGCTGCAATGCTTTCACAAAGGCAGCCTTCAGCCGATTAGTGTGCTCAGCCTTAAGGGCCTTTTTCTGATTCGATGTCATGCAGGTTTCACACATAATGGTTCCATTCTTCTCTTCCCTCCAGCGGCAAGTGAAGTCAGTCTTGCACTGAGCACACATATAGGGCTCCTGAGATAAGGCTGCAACTGAAACTTTACCTGTGGAATACAATTAGAAGAGGTCACCAATGCAGGTTCTAAGAATAGCTTACACCTTTGCTCTCAATCTCCCATCGCTCTAGGTCAGTGGCTCAAGACTACTTTTTAATGGGGTAGCTAGGGCTGACAGACTTGCTGGGGCCTAGGGCAAAAGCCTCAACCCCACTGCCCAAGAGCCCCAACCCTCGGTGGTGGGGCTCAGGTTTCAGGCCCACTGGCTTGGGGTGAAGTCTCTGGGCTTCCTCCTTCCCCCACCTCCAAGTAGCAGGGCTCAGGCGGGTTCTAGCTTCAGTCCCTTCTCTTGGGTCTTGTCGGAATTTTTGTAGTCGAAAGGGGGTCACAGTGCAATGAAGTTTGAGAACTCCTGCTCTAAACATGTGTCTGCTTCCTTCTCCCATTGTATCCCCACACGGGTTAATTTACTCCTCTTAATTTTAACCAATTTGGATCTGTGCATCAAGCAAGTCAATCTTGGCAAGAAAAGATGACTTACCAAAGCAGGCTACCTGAATGGTACATGGCGAGCCACACCAGCCCAGAGCCATGGAGTTAAATAAAACCCTCTCCTCACAAAAATTAGATTGGAGGGTTTTGCAAAAAATACTGGAGTATAAGTCTCCCCTCACCCTTGTATCCAGACATCTAGAAGTAGCACAGGTTGGACCCTTCTGGTCTGGCACCCTTGGGACCTGGGCAGTCCTGGATGAGGGAATTAGCTGGACCAGGGAAGGTCCCTCTGCCACGAGCTCCCTCAGTCTGCCTCCCTCCTGGCTGCCATCTTCTTCAGCTCTGCTGCCAGTGGGGTGACATGGCTGCCCCAGAGCTGCTGCCCCCCAGCTCTTGTGTCGGCACAGCAGCCCACAGCCCTGCTGCCACGGTGGCATACAGCCCTGCCTGAGCTGCCCTGCTCCAATCTGGGCATAAAAACGGCCAGACTGGGTCAGACCAAAGGTCCATCCAGCCCAGTGTCCTGCCTGTCAACAGTGGCCAGTGCCAGATGCCCCAGAAGAAGTGAACAGAACAGGGAATCATCACGTGATCCCTCCCATGTTGCCCATTCCCAGCCTCTGACAGAGGCTAAGGACACTATTCCTACCCATACTGGCTAATGTCCATTAATGGACCCAATCCCCATGAATTTATCTAGCTCTTTTCTGAACCCTCTTAAAGTCCTGGTCTTCACAACCTCCTCTGGAAGAGTTCAAGAGGTTGACTGTACTTCCTTTTGTTTGTTTTAAACCTCCTACCTATTAACTTCATTTGGAGAACCCTAGTTCTTGTGTTATGGGAAGGAATAAATAACTCTTATTGAGTTCTCCACACCAGCCATGATTTTATAGACCTCTATCATATCTCCCCTTAGTTCCCTTTCCTAGCTAAAAAGAGTCCCCGTCTTTTTAATCTCTCTTCATATGGCACCTGTTGCAATCCCCTCATCATTTTTGTTGCCCATTTTTTAACCCTTTCCAATGCCAATATATCTTTTCTGAGACTGACGGCTGGTCATGGCCCCAGCTCCATTGCTGTAGCCTCAACTGGCTTTCCCCTGGTGGGCTGCTGCAGCTCGGTCTTATCGCCAGCCAAGATGCTGTGGCTCTGTCCCCTGTGCCAGGCTAGCACGCAGCCCCGACCAGGCTGCTGCAGCACAGCCCCACTGCCGGACCTATGCACGGGTTGCCCCAGCCCTTGCTGGGTTGCCAGGCTGCCTCTGTCCCACTGCTTATGGCCCCGCTACCGCTGCTGGGCTGCTGAAGCTCTGGCCCCACTACTACCAGCCTCACTGTGCCCCGGGGCTCTCTTGTTCAGGAACAGCCATGGTCCTCCTGTACCACGGATGTTGCCAGACAAGAGAGTCCTGGTTTTGGGAGGTGGAATCTGTACTACTGACTGGCAGCTATGTCATTATGCTTCTGGTTTCTAAATCATTATCTGTACAGTATATTTTCCTCATTTTGTCTCCTTCCTCCTTTCCTACCACTCCTGCTTACTGGGCTCTTAGAAAGCTCTAATTTACCCCTAAATGTTAAGTAACAGCACAGAACACTGAGAGCCAGGACTGTAAACAAACTTCATGGGACTGCGGGAAACTTGACAATGAGAAAGTGGACTGCGGCAAAGTGGACATCCAACTAACTACAACTATGCCAGACCATGGATGTTGCTGGACCAGAGAGGTTCAATCTGTAGGCACAAGTCTTCAAATCACCCCTCCCCCCATAAAAATCAATCATAAATTGCATTCTTATTGGCACACACAGAGGCCAAAGACCGGTTCACTTTCCATTGACTGTTCATTTTAAGAGATGGTCGCCTCCAGTCAAATTTACAACAAACGGGTGAGGTAGCATGGGGAAAGGGGTGGAGGGGAAGATATCCACTATTACCACCACTGAATGGAACATGGAGTTTGTTTTTACTTAACTATGTGGGGACTGCCTAAAAGCCTCAATGTCCATGACCCAATGCGAAACTGAACAGATGGTTGAATAAAAACACCTTCCAAAGAAGCAAAAAAAGGCAGATCTATGGGTCTTCAAGATTATAACGTCTGAGGTTACCTGGGTAGAAATCTTTATTGTCTACCCAAATCTTAATTACTGCCCTCATACTTAGAAGCTCCATGGCAAAACAAAATTATCAGATCTAGGTCACTTCGTAGCCAGCAAGCAAATTAAAGCTCTTCAATTACACAAAAATTTGGTTATATTTAGAAATGCAAATCCTCTCTGCTTTTAGAAACAGGTTGGGATAGAAACTAGCTGAGATTTCCAGGTAATGGCCATACCATGATATTGTTTGGAAAGTGGTCCTCACTGGAGAATCTTATTGGGGTAGTGGGCCAAAGAGAACTGAAAATAAGGAAAAGCAAAGAAGCTTTCCAGAGAAGTTCTTGCAATCAGTATCCAGCAACCAATAATGCAGGACAAAAATGGGCTTTTAGAAATCCCAGAGTTAGATAACTCACATCTGAAAACCAGAGAGAGATTACTGAAGCCAATGTTACATTTTTGTTCTTGGCTTACCTAGCTACTGTGGGAAAACCCAACATATTTCTTCTGAGACAGCCCTGATTAAAAGGCATTGCTACTCAAACTCTTCTTAGGAGGTAACAAGGAAGAGCCATCACCTCTTCTTTTGCCTGAGGTTAAGAAGGCATCCTCCACTGCAGAAACCAAAACTATTAAAGAAATAAATGTACTTCTGCTGTACTTCACACTTGAAGTTGCTTTGCCAGAATACCACCTATTTGAGGAAGGCAAGTATTATTTCCATTAGATGAAGACCTTAAGGAAGAGGTTACGGCAGCTGGAGAAAACCCCTGGGTATCAATTGCCAGATTAAGATTACGTTGCACGCTCTCAATGCTAACTCATGCTACTTCTAAAACAGACAGGGATAGAGTGATATTAATGCACTTGTATTAATGAGGTTTCAAAGTAAGGTAAAACACAAGCAGAGTTTATCAGAAGTCAGTATATATACACTTGAAACAACTGTTTCTTCTAGCATATTTTAAAGCCCTCAAATAAGCCTCAGGCATCTATGGTACAAGCTTACCTTGAGTTTCTAGCAAGTTTTGCACTACTTCCTCCAAACCAACAAGGTAAATAAATTCATTGTTGGCCGCACTTGGCAGGAAATTCATCTCTGGTGCAGGTGGCTTAGGAGGTGGGATCTCCAATAGCGTCTTCTCTAGCTGCTTGCGCAGTGCAAGTTTGGCAGCAGCTTGCCGGCTGGCTGGCGAGTCATTGGAGTTCACTATAGAAGCAACACTGGTTGTAGTAGCATTAGCCTGAGATGTCACTGTTGTACCTTTTATTGAAGTAGGTGAGGCCTTAAAGAAAATACAAGCATGCTTACTGATAAGAATACAACTGCCTTGATATTTATTCCCTATGGCCCCTTCTCATCTTGTCCTCTCTGAGATAAGGAGCAAGGAGGCGAACTGGTATCAATTGTGAAGCTTTTGTGATGTGTACACTTGTCTATTTGGACAGAACTGAGCCACCTCTCACCAAAAACTAAATTCACACAGCCCACAGAATAGACATCAGGGTACGACTTGTGTCCCCCATATGAATGGGTTACCTAGCAGTGCAATACAAGGCATCCAATTACCAGTCATCTAGTCCCTCTATCAAGAACTCTGGAAAAAGTACTTATCTTTTGCTCTTTCACCATTTTTGTAATGCATTCTTAGAAGCTTGAAAAGAGCATTTACAGTACTTCCCCTAAATATTTTGTCCTTTTTATTTGATAAATGCTGACTTTTCCCTGAATGTATTATGAATCATAAGCCAACATGCTTTTCTTCATCCTTATCACATTTTTGGTGTGCTAGTATTAGTGAGGAACTGAATACCACTCTGGGGACAGAGTTACAGTTCACTACCAGAAATGCATTGCCCATTTTAGATTCTGCTTAAATAGTGGTTATTTTATTTAGGCAAGAAAATGCTGCCTTAGAGAGAAGGAAGTAGGAGGAAGGAGAGGAGAGAAACTAAAAACGGGAGGGGGGAGGGAAGGGAGGGAGGAGGACGTGGATTTTCCAAACTGAATACATTCAGTAGTTGAGGCCTTAAATTTGTCCACAACATTTATATTCCTTTCAAATCTTGTTTTGTCATAATGCATGACCTTACATAATAGTAATGAGATGCAGTAACTGGACAATAAATAATTGTATTTAGTTCTAAGAGAGAGAAGTGAATAGCATCATGAATCTTTTGCATCTCACCTGTGGTATATTGACAAGCAGGCTGGTATTGGGAACATTGGCAACGCGGATTAGACCCTGTTGTATAATTCTCTGTCCCTGAATCTGTATACTGGGGATGGATGCTCGTGGTGCCAGGAGCAGTGGAGGTGGCCCCGTGCTGGAGTGCTGTCGGATGTTGTGGATTTGCTGGGGAGAGACAGAGATGGGCTGATGCAGTGGTTCCATGAAGGATGGGATGGAGAGAGTTAGAGAAGGTGGAGAACAGGTGATGGGAGGTGGAGTAGGATGAAATAGTGGCGGAAATGATGCAAATCAGGGAACAAAACAAAAAGCAGCAACATTAACATCATTATTGAAACTTGCAGCTTCATTCTGACTGCTAATGCATTCCAAGAGAAGCAATATAGAAGTCAACATTAGAACAGAAGGTGCTGAACTTGAGACCACTGTCTTTAACAAGGCCAAAATTATTAGATTTTTGGCTTACGTTTTGAAGTCAACAGTTCCTTTCAAAATGTATAACTCTTAATAGTATATTTAGGGTTAAGGCTATTAGTGAAGCTAGTCTAGTTGAGAGTGAACAAGTTTTCTGCATATTAATCAGAACCTAAAGGAAATTAAATCCAGTGAGCCATCCCTTCTTCTTTTTTTTTTTTTTTTTTAAATTAGCCACCCAGCAGGCACAGATTTTTATTTTTAAAATAAGAGAGAGAAAAGTAACCCCATGATTGCAAAATAAATCTCCACCGAGCTAGATAAATATTTCCCTGCATCACACAAAGGTCACAGTAAAACGCAGTAAGATCCACCGGAGTTAATTTTCTCCCCTCCTCACTTTGTTCCTTTGCTGCATCTGCTGCTTTCATCTCACAGAAGACAAATAGACGTAAGAATAAGACACCTTCACAGTATTTTCAGTTCCCTAGGTTGCTACCTCATTCTATCTGTCCATTAGTCAATTTGATAATGAAGGCATTGAGAGAGAGATGAAAACATACAGAGGAGAAACTGATAACAGGAAAAAGCAAGGAGAAAAACGATTAAGAACCAAAACCACAATAGGATTAAGTCTTCCACATTGTTCTGCTGGGTAAAGCTAGCCCATGTAGTGTACTCTATCACCACAAGACCCAGGGAGTCCTCATCACAAATATCTGGAAGGCCATTACATTACTGAGAAGTAATGTGTACAGTCTATTAAGTAGGGGGACCTCCGAGAACTTCATCCAACCCTCTTGGGTAAGGGGAATGGTGATCATGATTCAGAGCCTTGAAGTTGGAGTGTAAAAGTGGAGAGATTCAGTGAGACAATCCCCTAGGCCATGAGGGGAACGGAAAGATCACACCTGGTGTGGTGAGGAACACCTATCACCACACAAACTCTTACCTGTGCTCCTCGGACAAGAGGTGGCATTACTATCTGCGTATTCTGCTGAGATCCCAGTTTTGAAGAGGACTGTTGCCCTCCACGGACCAATGGAGGGGGAATAACAGTGCCTGGTATACGTGTAGAAGAGGTCTACAAAAATAGAGGAGCATTTACTTTTCAACTTATTTTTAGAAAACAGAACATGCTTATCTATATAGATGCTTATATTTAGGTCCTCACAGTGGTATTTGACTGTTTGTATGCCTATGTAATTTTCCAAAATTGCACTGCCACGCCTAACTTGTGAATACCTGAATAGATTTTTCTTTTCTTTCTACATCCTCCCTATCTTTATTTTCCTTAATCTATCTGCTGAGCTGTTCTTTGTATGGTAAGGAGAAAATTCTATTGCACAGAGGTGAATCTCAAACTTTAGACTGTGTTTGAAGGCACAGTGTGTCATTACTCAAAGCTGTTTCAGTGAGGGGAAAAAAGAAACCTGAAAGATTTCAGTTATAATAGGGTATTCTACAGTGGATAATTTCTTTTTACTACATGAAATGCAGCACGGTTCATCTGGGAATCTGTTCACTGAGTAAAGCCAAAAACTGGCCACTGTTCATGAGTTAAGGTTCTCAAAAATACAGGGAAGCATCCCCTTTCAGTATATATCCTAAATAATAAAGCTTCATACTTTGAAGAGCATAGGAGAAGCTAATGTTCACTTACATTGTGCTTTTCATTCAAGAATTTCAGAAGTGCTTTACAAATATTTTTTGTAAGTAAACAGACAGTGAGGGTAAGTTGCCCAAAGGTTTTACAGTAAGACAGACAGAACAGTAACAGAACTCATAAGTCCTGACTCCATGTTCTCTGCTCTAACTACTAGAGTGCAGGACTATAGAAAAATGTTTTACTGTCTTTGTTACTTGTGGTGCATGTTCCCCCTATAGTGCTGTCTGTAGTGAGGGCAGCTGTATCTGTATGCAGCAGAGATAAAGAATCTGTCCATCGCTGAGTTGCTCATTTTATTCTAGAGCCCCCCCAAAAAAGTTTGCTTATGACAGCAGGATAGTTTCAGAGCAAAATTAAGCAGTGTGTTTTCTTTGGTCAAAGGCTCTTTCATCAGTACCTCTTATGTATCAGTCAGGAAAGTGCATTTAGAATCTGACTGAAAAATCAGACACTGGAAGATAATCTTACAGGGTTATCTGCCTTCATTCTCCCCCACTACCGGTCTTAAAAGCTTATTGCAACTGGGTTCATAGGAGTTAGCAGTGGTTTAATCAATACAAAAAATTCCACTTGGAACCACACTGTTTGTGACAACTAGATTGTAGACATTCAATCCGATTGAATAAAACTTACAGGATCAGTTTTTGCGCAAAAACTGTTCATTCCTTGAAAGCTTAAAAATTCATTATCTGCCTCCGTACAACTTTGCTGGAAGTGTTTGTGGAGATGAGAAGTGGGCGAGATGCCATGAGCATATTACTGCTTCTCCACCCAGCAATACATGGAGCAACTTTACCAGATTTATACTGAAGATGATCCCTCCTAGTACTGTGCATTTTCAGCCCCCCTGCATGCCCCTAACTCAGAAACATAGGAGGCCCCCACGCTAACCTGAAGGGATGGCTTGCCAGCAGGAACATTCTGTGTGCCCCGCACCAATGGGGGAGGGGTGGCCACAGCACTCCCAGAGGAACCAGGAGGCTGCAAGAGATAAACCAGAAAGCCGAATTGCAGCAATTAAAGGAAAATAAAAATATTTACCTCCTTGTAACACAAAGTCTAACTGGCATAAAATGATATTCAAGTAGGGATAAGAGATTCACTCATTCTTACTGGTATATAAATGCTATGCCTTTGTAAAGGCTTTACAAGCAATTATATCAAGCAACATTTTAGAAGTTTACAATGCATTTTAAAATGAGTCATTTAAAAACTAAGTAGGTCTCAATATCTAACCTAACTCAGTCCCCAATGCATGGAAAAATTTCATTAAATGTTAAGGACTGTTATCCAAAAACAAATTGTGATATTAAGAAAGCTTTCTAAAATGTGGTGTTTCATTCTGCTTAGACTATTCAATAGCCAAAGTTCACTTAATCAGTGTTCACTAGCAGATTGTGTAACCCATGTACCCAATACATTAATCTGGTTTCAGTAAATAAAAATCCTTGTTTAAAAATAAAGGATTCCAAAAGAAAAAGATCACAAAAAAAAGTCAGGGAAATAAAACATTTCTCCTTACCCATCCTTCAATGTGAACTGAAATGCTTTTAATACAAGTATGCACAAAAACTGTTAGGATCCATAATGTCACACACATAAAAGTAAAATTAAACAGGAAATGACTTTCAACAATTTATCTGCCATGACTAGAGTTCAGAATTTTGAGTCTCTCTTGCATGGATTTATCAGTAACATCTAAAGCAGTGTAAGGGATACAGCACTTTGCTACTAGTTCTCCTTGTTTGTGGTTCTTAGCTGTTTAAATAGTGCTTTAAAGTGTCAAACTATCTTCAAACTAAACAGTATAAAAAAACCCTGATTAATGATGGACAGTTTTACAGCACGAAAACGAAAAATGTGAAGCTGAAGAGGACATGATGCACTTTGGAAGAGCAATATATGTGATAGCAAAGTCTGATAAACTATTATATATCATTTTAAGAAGGGATATACAGGCAGTCCCCATGTTACGTACAAGATAAGAACAAACCTATAGTCCCTAAGTTGAATTTGTATGTAAGTCGGAACTGGCTCCAGATTCAGCCGCTGCTGCTGAAACTGACCAGGGGCTGACTACAGGAAGCTGGAGGCAGAATTGCTCTGTCCCCAGCTTCCTGGAATCAGCCACTGATCAGTTTCAACAGCGGCTGAATCTCGAGCCTGGGACAGAAAAGCTGGGCTGCCAGGTAGGTCCCTGCAGGACCAACCCAGCAGCACTCGAGCAGACCAGGGGCACCTGGAGCAGTTTCTCACACCCCGGAGGTCGAGGTGGCGGGACCGCTGCGCTCTGGGCAGTCCCGCTGCCTGCGAGCTCCGGGGAGAGAAAGCCCCGTTCGTAAGTGCGGATCCGACATAAGTCGGATCCGCGTAACTTGGGGACTGCCTGTACTGCAACGCTCGTCTATTACAAATGCATATACAAAGTCAATGGAAATTATACTACCTTTGAAAAGATTTAGTAAGTATTCTTAATACAGAGATTCCATAAGAGAACTATCATTTAAAGAGTGTGTGTGTGTGTGGGGGGGGGGGTACCACTGGAACTAGAACAAACTTTAAGCGCATTCTCTGTATAGGCTACCCATTTTGTACAGACAAAGAACGGATTTAAAAAAGGCTTTTGTTTCAATGGCTGTTGGATTGCCAGACTGGACTGCTTTGAAAAAACAAGGAATTCCACTTAATGTTTGAAGAAAATGGTTTTTTTCTGTTAAAGAGTTATTCTGAAGAGTTACCATACATTTTGATTTGAGAGTTATACAAGGTACCGCAAAATTATGTTTAGAAAAATCAAGAACACCACTTGTTAAAACATCTGTGGAGAAATCAATACCTTCTGAGTAGTGGTCTCTTTCTGTATTTGACTCTGCCGCAACTTTTTCAATAAAACAAGTTTTGCTTCTTCTAACCGTAACTCTTCTTTTAGCTGTTTAATCATTCTCTCACGCTCCTCTGGGCTGCTCTTCTGTAAGGCCAGTTAAGGTATTTGGAGATGGGGAGAAAAAAGAAGATAAAGTACAAGTAATGACAACCTAGAGCACAGTAAGTCAGTGGGACTAACAGAATTCACCTGGAATGTACATGCATAAAATCTAAGTGCTGAGAAAGAGCTCAAAGCAAAACAGACTTTAAAATTCACCCTTTAGTAAACTGCGAAAATTAACAGCTCACTGCTTTAAACAAGAAGGTTTTACTACTTCTAGTGCATATACTAGGGATGTAAAATCCCATTTAGTCAGTTAACAGGTTAACTGCTTAAACAGGGTGGGCTGCTCTGGCAGGGCTAGGGGCCCGCCGCAGGTGGGGGAACTGGTCCAGTCAGGCCCAGCTGGACCACCAGTTAAACAGTAACTGATAAGCATCACCTTATCGGGTGATGCTTACAGATTAACCATTGACATCCCTAGCATATAACAATGCTGCACTATTTTAAATACTGAATGAGAGTCAAACAAGTTTTCATAAATTTCCCTGTGGGAAAAAGTATGAGGTTTAATGGGGGCAGGAGAAGAGAGGACGTAAAGAGTAGAAGCCCAAATAGACAGACTGACTTCAGTCCTTAATGCAGTCTCAGCCCCAAGATAATCAAATTGCATGAAGTTGTATATGGGAAAAAAAGGTGAAAGCAGCTGTTGAATCTTACATCCTGTAGTCTCAACTGTAACAAAGTAAATAGTGCCTGTTTCAATATTTCTAAGGAACACAGCCGAGAGTGTATCAAAAAATGTGAACTCACCATGAGTGCCTCTGTGTTGGTCTCTCTTAATGCTATTTTTGTTAAACCATTCATTCTAGGGCTTGAAGGTTCATTGTCTGATAACACTATAATATCAGGTGAGGGGACTCTCTTTTCTCTCTTCAGATCACTGTAAATCAAGGAAAAGCAAGGGCATTTAACATCTCCCCATAACAAAGAATATATTTTTTTCAGTTGTTACTGACAGATTAACTATGAATGCCTCTAGTGTGAAGAAAGTGTTAAGTATTCAATACAAGACCAGAGTTTACCTCAAATTCCAGTTTCCATCTGAAGATGTAAGCCTAGTAAAGACAATCATACTTACTCAAATAGCCACAATGAGAGTAGGAACAGGCCTCAAATAAGTGGTTACCAAACTGTGGGTTGTGATCGCAAGTGTGAATGTCACCACCATTGGCACACGGGTTCACAGGGATCCCTAGCATGCAGCATATGCCATTTTTCCTTGCATGGTATGACCTTGCATGCACCATATGCAAGACATCACAATGTGCAGAGGATGTCTACTTTATAGAGTTAATCGGCATCTTCCATGCAGCACAACCTCACTTGTATGCTGTATGGGAGGTCATGCCAAGTGGCGGATACTATTTTGTTTCTTCAAAACTTTGTCCTCAACGCAGTCTGGAATCCCAATGGGAAATATTCCTTTAAAATGGGGTTTTTAAAAAGGCTGCTGATAGTGATGTCAAACATGGTGATAATTTGAACAACGGGGCTACACTCCCATTAGGAACAGTGTTGAGTCAGCCAATTCATTAATAAGGCAGATGGCAAGGACATTCAGTCACTGGAAGCCAATACTCTAAGCACACCAAGGACCTACAAGTGAAGGGGCCTATATCACAGGGCTTATCCAAAACTATCCTGTTTGCTCACTGTACTACTTTGAATGCCAAAAGGCCCAAATTCTTCAGTCTACATGAGTTTTCAATGACCAACATTTCATCAAGTTGCTTTTCTTATCCCCTCCCTTAATACAAACGTTTCTAGGTTGATCTTCCCCACATGAGTTATTGTAGTTACCCGATTCCCACTGAAACAAGAATAAAGGTCCTTATCCCCTCCTAGGTTGATCTTCCCCACACGAGTTATTGTATTTACACGATTCCCACTGAAACAAGAATAAAGGTTCACTGCACAATTCACTGCAACACAGCATGTACAAGAAAAGGGTTGCATTTAGAGATTTTACAGCTCAAAAGTCTGTTAGCACAAGTAGGTGCACTTTTACTTATCAAGTTAAATATCACAGCAGCCTAAAATGCCCATAAGCATGTCCCATTTATAACCAAAATGACTGAAAGACAGACTCTCACCGGGAGCAGATATGATGTTATGCTTAATTTCATTTCAGTATACAGTATCTGGAATCTTAAGTGATGGGAAGAGTCATTAGTTGTTCTTGATGTGTGGTATCCAAGAACTACCTTTGAACTCTAAATAACTTAATGTTCTTGTATGAGAATCCTAATCACACCAGCCAAAAAAGCTCAAGATACATTATGCTGCATAATCCAACAGCAGGCTACAGTACCATTCTTTCCACTGCATCATGCAGCTTTTGATTGGACAGTCTGACAACCTGTAAAAGCCTCCTGGCTTGAGATGTCCAACAGAGGCCATTTGCCAAACAAATTAATAACTTTAAATGAGTCTTCAGTGAAATATATCTGATCAGCAATATTAACCCACTGGTGATGGATTAGGGTTTAATATAGCATTTCACAGCAAGGGTGGCAGCAGATTTAATAGGTGGTCTTTTACTGAACACACAATAGTGTAGTCTCATCCCATAAAGAATGTTCTGGCAGCAGGGTGAAGTAGAATCACTTTAGAAGAGTACATTTCAAGAAACTGTTGCAAATCCAAACAAAAACTACAAAAATATAATGAAAGCTTTTTCAATAAAGTATACTGTAAATGAAATTACTTTGGTCAGCAATGATGCATTGAAAAGTTAACAAAATAATAGAGACAGAGCCCAAAGCAATTTTTTAAAAACAATTACACCAAATAAAGCAAACATGTTATGCAGTTAACTACCTTTAATCTACAAGGTGAAAGTTACCTTAATTCACAATATGTAAAACCGTAAATTAATCCCATATTCACTTAAAATGCGGCAGTTTCTGATCACCTTAAGTTATAGGTTCTGGAGTCAGCAGTACTACCAGAAGTTTACTTACATCTGGTGCATCACTAAATAAAATGTAAGATACTAAATCTCAAAATAAGGACAGATCAACCTCACAACTGTAACGTACCCTTTACTGTAGCTATAATTTTTGTACCACTATTGGTAAGTCATGTATTAACGTAAACTCCACACTCTTAGTAAAAACCATGCTGGTTCAAACAATTTTTTGGAAAAACTAAAAGCTGGTTGCTACAAAAAGCAGTCTTTGGTATCTCAGCCGGAGCCCTGTACTCAATACTATACTAAATTTGATGCAGTTGTCCACCTCGGTAAAAAAGGGAGAAGAAAGTGAATTTCAGTTTCCTCTAGGGGGCACAGTGAGCCAGTGAACCAATCTTTAAACTCTGAAGGGGTTTAAAAATAACCAAGGGTTACAGGTGAAAGTTTTAAAGCCTGAGCTTTTCTTTGACTCAGGTATACTAAATTGGTTGCCTTGACTAAAAACTGGGAGAGAAAAATAAAGAGTGCTTGCCATCAGGAGACTCAAGTTTTAAAGATCTCAGGATAGATGAAGTCTAAAGTACATCATCTCAAGTAATATCACTTGACTTTTTTAGCCATTCTTTTAAGAAGTGGGGAAAGGGGAAATCACCTGATTGATTTTTAAAGAACTGTTAACTAAGGCAATAATCTCATTACTTAGATAACAACCTTGTGTTGGTCAGCAAAAAAGTTGTAGAGTTTTTCCATGTAGCTAATCTAAGCCAACATTTTAAAAAAGATACAATAAATCTTGTCAAATGCTACCCCCTTGGTATTTTATAGATTATGTTTTTGTAACAGGTAAAGCTGTGAAGAGGTACTTACGCAAGTACCTTATATGATAACAGACTTCTACAAAGTATACTATGTCTACACTGCATTCCTCTTTCCAGAGAGGAATGCAAATGCAGCAGAGTGAAATTGCAAATGAAGCGCAGATTTGAATTTCCTGCGCTTCATTTGCATAATTGTAATTCATTTGCAGGCGCTATTTCGAAATAGCCTATTTTGAAAAGAGATGCTGTCTAGCCGCGGTTATTTTGAAAGAAAACCCTTCTTTCGAAATTACCCTTAAGCCTCATTTTATAAGGAGTAAGGGTAATTTTGAAAGAAGGGTTTTCTTTCAAAATAACCGCGGCTAGACAGCATCTCTTTTCAAAATAGGCTATTTCGAAATAGCGCCTGCAAATGAATTACAATTATGCAAATGAAGCGCAGGAAATTCAAATCTGCGCTTCATTTGCAATTTCACTCTGCTGCATTTGCATTCCTCTCTGGAAAGAGGAATGCAGTGTAGACATAGAGATACCATGCAGATGGGTAGTCACTATGGCTATGAACCCGGTTTTGTGAACTGACATTCTCTATCAACCACCAGAAAAGCCACACACTATTTTCAAAAGTCACACAACTTTGAAAACTAAACACAATTTTGTAAAATATGAAAGTAAATCAGACTATCAGTTTCTGTAGCTATGAAACAAACAACTTAGGTACACTTCCGAGTAGCAAGCTAGGTCACTGAAAGTTTACTGTGATGGTGAATCAGTTTTTGCAAAACCTCTATGTGAAGACCAATAGATGCAATTTAGGAAAACTCAACCCATCTGAATGGAGTTCAGACTTGTACAACACCCAACTCCGGTATCAAAAGATTAACTTTTTATCCTCTTGAAGAAGGTCTTATCCCCACCCCTGTCCTTCCCCCCCACATGGGGACAAAATATGGCACAAATTTGAGTAAGAAACACCAGTAGTTTGGAAGAATTCTATTGGCAGACTTAAGTCTGCTGAATCACTCTGAGGTGATTAGTCACATTTAAAACAAAAGATACTTAAACCAGATTTGTCAAAAAGGCAATTGAATTCAAGACAACATTGCAAATCAGGGAATGGTGCATTGACAGAAAGCTCACGAGGTCCTGCTTTAACCACTCAATTCTCAAAACAACTAAGCACAAGAATAATCAATATGTATGTGTAGCAGGGGTGATGTCACCCCATCAATTACCACAGCATCATAACAGCTAGCAGGGAGCTAACTTCCTGTATGCTAATCAGCCATCAAAGAGTCATGTGAGAAAGGCATTTCCCTCACTGGACATGTGACCCTTTAACTGTTCCTTCCACTGTGAAAACCATAGCAACAGCCAGTTCTAACCGGCTTGTGACACATAGCCTTCATTTTACGAAGTGAGGTAGGGTTCAGGTGCTGTAAGAAAATGGAGCAGACTTTAAACTAAAGGGAGTGTCCTGCCACTATAGGAGCTTCCTGAACCAGCTGACCACTTGAGACTATTAATAAAAAGCATCATGTTTTGACAATAAAACAAACATTCACCCAACAGTACAGTACTGAACTATACTCAAGTACTCTACAACTTTTGAAAAGTTTAAGAACTTTTATAGCTGATTTTCTGGTTTGCTTCAAAACTCTGAAAATAAACACCTTTAGTCCATTACTGCTTTTAAAAAAGTATATCTACTAAGCCATGGAATCAAGTTTCAAGTCACCCAAAATAAAAATGAAAAAGACTCAAAGGGTGGCCTTTTTGATACAAAAGTTCTTTCTACTTTTTAGACCAGGTGAGAATGAGAAAGCAAGGTAGAAATTAAGAGACCACGGATAATCAGAATTGTGAGAAATCAGGGGGAAGATCTATTTTGTAGTATTACAGTTCTTTAATCGAACCCTTTAACAACAGAACACTGATTAGAAAAGGCTAAAAAATTTTACTGACTACACTTTGCTCTAGAAGTTGTGGTCATCATGGTTATTTGTATTGCAAAATATCTTTGAAAAAAATCAAGTGATTTGTCATCAAGATTAAGACAGTAAGATAAGCAAACACTACAGGTTCCAAGCAATGAGAAAACACTTTAATTTAAACTTCATAGTTAAGAACAGGTTTAACACGATCCAT